AATAAACACCACAAACACAGCATTATTCCATGTCCTAGAACTGAGACATAAAGTAAATATAATAAGACTGCTATCCTGATAGAGTTTCCAATGTAATTAGATGGTTACAATTACTCACTTATTTATCATCTCACCTTTGTCATTCACCATCTGAAAGTCACAGAAAAGACACAACGATGAATCTGACACTAGCCACCTTAGTAAAAATGATCAAATCCTTTGTTCTGCTCTTCTATTCACACTGTTGGTAAAGGAGGGATTGGCTGAACATATAATACTTGACACTGGACAGGTGACATTGGCAGCAGTTTTTAATCACGCATTTCTCACAGCCCTCGTGAGAAAGACGCCAGAAGCCAAGAGTAGCCATGTAGAGGTTACACTCAGAAAGAGGGACTGTGGGAGGCTGACTTTGTATTAACAATAGGGTGAAGTGATCCTGGGTTCCCATGGAGAGATAAGTTTGAATAATTTCACCAGCTTGTAGGAAGGTAAAACCAATTAGGTTGAGGACCTCAAGTGGGATGTAGCTGGTGTGACAGATGGGAGAACTAGCCTGGTAGAGAACCTTTCCCAGTAGGTAGGGGACACAACTGGCAAGAGCAGAGGAGCTCATGGCTAGGCTTTTGGGGCCCCGTGAGGGTCAGAAACATAAAGGAAGCACTTGAAAGTTAGGTCTTAGAATACATCTTTTCACTTCTCTTGGCCTTGGATCCCAATTTGTAAAATCAGAGAATAGAGAACGAATGATCTCAAGATTCCTATCCATTATAATTCTCTATAATTTTCATTATAAAGCCAGTCAAACGAGCAGTGTGTTGGTCATTTTCAGAGGCACTCGATATCATGATTTGTTTGTGAAGACCACTCTATTTTTGTTCACTTTGGAGATATCTCAGTGAATTCAGGCTAACCTAATAGGGCCCTCTTCTAATTTTAATGTGAAGCTAAGACATTTAATTTCTAGAGATTGGTAAGGGGAGTATGTTAACGACATTTAGTATAGAGTCAGTTTTGGAGTTATCAGGAAGAGCTTTTAGAGAAAGCCCAGGAAAGAAATATTTATAAACCTAAAATCAACTATACTTTTAAATGATGTCAATCTTTCCAAAATAAAATGCTAGCGAGAGTCAAAAAATGTTCATATTTACTCCTGGTGGGCAAAATTAATTATCTCAGTAGGAGATTTGTGATTTTCATTAAATTCTACAAATTTAAGACTGTAAAAGAAGAGTCAAAAACATCTTGACTGCTTAACATAAAATCAGAAGGTAAAAATATGTTTGTCTTTGACTTCCAGATCTAAATTTGCAGAATTTAATGACAATCATAAGTTTGATTTCCCATGTCTCTGATTGTTTTAAAATAAAATTATCCTCATTTAAGGAAAAGAGTTGAATTAGTACTATAATTAGTAGTCAGAATTACAAAAAGTCATATCTAAGTACATGAAAAATATTCTGGTTAAGATATAATAACCTGCTCTCTCTAGTAACCATAATAGTAAACACTGTCTGCTCAGGGAACATGCATTCTCCAACATTTAGAAAAGCATGAAAGAAAGTAAGAATAATGATTTTAAAAAGGCTGTGCTACTGCATGTGGGCCACAAACTAGGATACATGGTTTTCATGTGGCTGCCTCTCCCATGTCTAGAGACTTATCTCTTACTCACGTGAGACATGAGACATTTTTATTATCAAGGCTTTAACTATGAAATCAAATTAAAATAAAAAATTAGAATTCTGTAGATTGGGCATATATAAGGCAAAATAAGAAGTTAAAACAAGAATGTTTTAAGTCTATATTTATATTTATCTGAATTAAAACTCCCAGAGCAGCAATATCCAGCCCTAGAAATACTGGCTTATAATAAAAGAGTTTAACATTATATTATTTATCACCGCAAAGAGTTAAACTGTAATGATAAGCAGTGGTAGCTTGAACTGTCTGTTACTGAGAAGGTAATCATGAAGAATTCTAACCAAAAAATATAAAAGATGAACTGCCTAAAATAAGTGTAATATCTTACACACTTGTAGTAATTTCTAGGCTGCTCTTTCACTGAGTATAACAAAACCTGATCCCTGTATGATTTTAAGAAACATTATATATTAAAATTTCTATGCCAATTGTTTTACATGGCTAGGACACCACCATTTTCTTTCTTTGCAAATAAACATCTTTTCCACAACATGGTTCATCTTAAGCACTGTCTCCTGATAAATTTCATGTGTTGGAGAAGAAGAGAGAAAGGGAGATAAAGCAGAAACATGAACACATTTTCTTTAGTGTTTGAAATAACATAAATCACACTGAGAAAAATCAAATATGGGTAGCACTATTCACAATTTTCAAGAATAACTGCTCTAATGTATGAGTAGTTCTTACCCAATAGTGTCTGACATCAAAAGATATTTGTGAGATTAAAATTTACAATGCATACAAGCCTAATTTGGGAATCTGGGACAGAAGATAAAGAAAGTGTATTTTTAATACACTTCACTGTATCAAAAGAAAAATAATAAAAGAATATAGAATCTGCAAGGAAGCATCAGAGTGAAATGTGTGTAATCAATCTCAGAAATAGTTTGTTCGAACTCAATCATTATAGTTTTTTAAAAATCCATTTTGGTTGCTGACAAAATCCTATTACTTCTGTAGCTATATAGATTCAGCAATGATAATACCTGCAAACATTCCCTGAATACTTAGTACTTAGGCATTGTGACTTACATGCATTATCTCATATAATCCTAGTAACCAAATAAGATGAATACTGTCATTATCCTGCTCTTACACATGAGAAAAGGCAGAAAGACTAAGTTACTTACTGAAGATCCATAGCTAGTTTAGTAGTAGAAGATGTGAATCCAGGCAATGGCTTCAGAATGTGCACCCTTAATCACTATATATTATTAATTAAATTACATGACTAATATAGAGTAAACTTAAACATTAGGTGATTTGTCATGTGCTCAATGAGAAGATTACAAAAAAATTTTTTTTATGAACTTCAATATATACACATTTGGGAATACAGATAGAATTATCAACTAACTGTAATTTTAGTGTGCATTTATACATTTTATATATATATAATGTACACATATATAAAATTATGTTAGGTAAAGTAATATATTCGCTAAATGTTAGTGTGTATGTGTGTGTGTGTGTGTGTGTGTATACATAATCATGTTAGGTAAAGTAGTGTATTCACTAGAAATATTGCCTTTTTCCATATTCACATTATGTAACACAATAAGATACAGTCTAGTGGTTTACCATGAGGACTTCAGAGCCAGATTGAGTTCAAACCTCAGGTCTACTATTTCCTAGTCTAATGATGTTTCACAAGTTATTTAACCACTCTGTTTTCAGTTTCATTGTATGTCATATATAGAGCACCTACTTATTGGGTTGTTAGGAAAAGCAATTGAGTTAAAAGGTGTAAAGTGTTTATAACAGTGCCTGGTACATACTAAGTGTACATAGGTGTTAGCTGTTATATCTTTCAAATGCTTCACTTGCACCTTTGGCAGGAAGGACTCTGCCATCACTAGAGTCCAGTCCTCTGAGGCTGTTTTTTACATTATTCCTTCTAGGTTATTTAACATACAGAAAAAGTCAAAAATCACATGATATCACTTATATGTGAGATATAAACCTAAAAGCAACAAATGAACAGGAGAAACAGAGACTCATGGACATGGACAATAGACTAGTGGTTACCAGAGGGCAGGGGGTAGAGGGGATGGGGAAGGTAGATGGGGTAAATGGGGTCAAATATGAGGTGACAGAAAGAAATCTAACTATGGGAGGTGAACATGCAAAGTAAATATATATATATGCCTTATTGTTAAAATGTACAGCTGAAACTTACCAGATTTCATTAACCGATGTCACCATAAAAAATTAATTAATTAAAAAAAAAAAAAAGAACTTCCACTACTGTCACGGAAATTCTAATTCCAAACCACAATATTCATTAACCTAACATTAGAAATATCTTTATTTGTTACTTAAGAGGGTGTTTGTGATCTCTACAATGAAAATACCTACAATGAAAATATTGCTTAAAAAATTATCTTTAAAAGATTTTTTTTTTTGCAACAACATGAGGCACTTGCAATATTGAAGCCAAAGTTCCAAGAATAATTGTTAAATTGGGGTTAAATTCCTCTGCCAAAAGCATCCAATGTTGTTATTGGTAAATCTGTCTTCCCCAAACAATAACTTATTGTTCAAAGTAAAATAATTGAAATAAAAGAAGCAGAATTTGACGAGGAAATTTCCTATGGGATAAAGGGTAATTTGTCATATTTGGGATATGGGGTTACATAATTAATATTCAAGGTAGTGAAAACAGATCTTGGGCACATACAATAATTTTCACCATAATTATTAGGTTGCATTGTGGGATTTAATATGACTCGCTCACAGCTGCCAAATCCCCACCTTATTTGGTGATTGTGGATATAGCTGAAAGTAGGGAAAACTACCCATGTTCAAACCATAATTTTCTGGCACAACTCCCCATGACATATTTAACATAAAACAGAGGTGAAAGAAGGCATTTCTAAGATATCTAAGTACAATTCCCCTGCCAACCTAAAACAAAAACAAAAATGAAGTTTTTTGTGTTTGTGAAGTGTTAGTGTGCATACTAACATGAATGTCAAACTAATTAAAAGGTATTACTTGTGATTAGAATGTTCTTTCTTCTATATTACAAGTTTGATAATTGGCATACTAGATTCCAGTGGAAGACTAGGCAGCTGTTACAAACCCACTTGATGTTCCATCATCGTTGACCTGGTTGAGGCTCTCTACTCCTAGTGAGGCCAGCTTAATGACTCTAACAGAAGTCAAAACATTTACCAAGTATTTGTTTCTTTTACTATAACTTGCTGGAGCCTGTCCTGAGGTAGGAGGCTCAACACCACACCAAAAAAAAAAAAAAAAAAAAAAAAAAAAAAATCCAAAAAAGGAACGCCTACCTGACTAACCATGAAATTGACTGATGTTCTCAAAATTCCTGAGGAGCTTCTGCAGGATACCTTGGCTTATGTTTCAAAGTCGAACAAACAATATGAAAGATTTAATCATGTAACTCAATTTTCTTGCTTGGCTTCTCAATTGTAGCAGGGGCTAGAGACGAAAGAAAATCCAAGAAATATGTAAGTGCTTTCACACTCAGAAGCATAATTTGAATAATATCTATATTGAACAATGCATCCTAAACAGGTAATTTTTAATGCTTATATTCCTGTATTTTGTTCAAATTTAAGGGTAACATCTCTTTGGGATAGGAAGAAACATCAGAGGAAACCAAGAGGTACTAGAATTTTTTTCAATCATAAGATCATTAAGCAGATAAAGTGATAGATTATTGCATATTGTTGATAACTAGAAACTAAGCTTCATAGGTAATGTAGCTTAAAGTACAATCATATAATTTATTAATCAAACTGGGATATTTTTGAGAGTGAAAAGGGGACTATATTAATAATTATGCTAAAAAGTATCAGGCATAAAATGAGTCAACGGGGCTGTCTCCAGCATATCAGGATTTATGGTCAGTCTACCTACAGTTGTGCAGCTGGTACCTATGTCAATAAATTATAACATAGTTTGTAAAAGGTAGTAAATTTAACAGTTAGATGAGCAATTTCGGAAGTTCTCTGATGCAGTAGAAAACCTCAAAGGGTAACTGCCTGTTCCTCTCAAAAGTACAGTCTTTGGTTTTTTTTTAATTTTTTGCTGTTGCTATTTTTGTAGGATAGGGAGTATGTTTTTTGTTTTACTTTTACTTGTTTGTTTCATTTTAACCAGTGAAATTTTATTATTCCTTTGGAAACTGGTACCAGAGCAATGTCATGGCTTTTGTCAGGACCACAAGATTTTAGTCCCAGCATAAAATGCAAGGGCTCACAGTATAAACTTTAGTACTATAAATCCTGAAGACAGTTTTGCTCATCAGTTAATACCATGGCATCTGGAGTTAGGGGAGTGAAAGGTAGTAAGGATTCCTCCACTTTGAGAAAGTGATTTAACACAGTAGCCACAACAATTTTTTTTTTTTTTTAAAGAAAAATCTCATTATGTCACTCGTCGGTTCATAACTTTCAGTGGTTTCTGTTTTCTTTTAGAACACCAGAATCCAACAAGACATCATTTCCTGACCCTTTCTGTAGCTCCAGTTTCAGCTCCTATGTGACTCCCCTCACTTGGTGCTTCATTAACCCTGGCTTCATTTAGACCAGTGATTTCCAAACTGATGTTGCCCAAGGGACATTTTGTAATGTCTGGAGACATTTTTCGTTGTTTCAAGTCTGGTAGGGGGTGCTACTGGCATCTAGTGAATAGAGGGTCAGGAATGTTGCTAAACATCCCACACTGCACAGGGCAACCTCCTACAACAGAATCATTTAGACCAAAATGTTCATAGTGCAGAGGCTGAGAAACCCTGACTCATACCTTTTCCCTAATCCCAGGCCTTGCACCGGCTGCTGTCTCTGTCTGAAATATTCATGCTTTTCCCTTCCATTTCTTTTTCCTCCCCTTTCCCCTTTTCCTGCTTTTCTCTAATAACTAACTCCTAGTCACCCTTTTGATTATCACCTTCTCATAGTGGCTTTCCAGATTCTTATTCCCAGATAAATGTTACGCCCCTTCAAAGAATTATGGAGCATATAAGAATATTAGTAACAATTTCACATGTATTTGTTTGATTACCTCCTCCCTAACTCCAGGTGAGCAGTACCAGCTAGCTTGTATTCACCATAGTATCTCCAGTACATCCAGTAGTTAGCACAGCTAGCAGAGTTGTAACATCGCATTCAACGTTACTAAACGAAGTTAACAGCCTCACCTATAAAGGGAGAATAACAGAGTAACCACCTCATTAGGGCCTAAAGATAAATAACACACATAAACTCTTTAGCACAGTGCCTGAATCTCCAGAGAGAGAGAGCGAGTATGTAGTTTGTGGACAAGAGACAGGCTCTGCCCGTCCCACATCAGCGCTTGCCACGTCTTCTTCCACGTCCTCTTTCGAGCGAAGAACCCTTCCTGCTAACAATTGTTGCGCCTGCGCCTTTCTGCCTCCTGCTAACTAGCTCCTAGAAGTAGTTCCCGCTTCCCATTGGTCGATACTGCGCATGCACCATATCGGGTTCCCCGCCCCGTCGGTGTCTAACCCAGGAAAGCAAAATCTGCCAACACGCCTGCGCAAGTGAGCGTGCCCCGGAAGCAGTTCTTTGCCCTGTAACACGTAGCAACCAGGCCAGCTCAGGGTTTTCAGCTGAGGTCGGGGGTTACTTGGGGCTGCTGGAGCTACTGCCGCTGCCTCCGCTTTTGGTGAGTGCCCCAGGCCTACGGTACACTGTTCCGCTTCTCCCCACACCTGTGCAACGCGGCTTATTGCCGCCTTTCGGCGCCGCGCCCAGTCCTTTCCTGAGACTCTCCCTCCCTCTCAGGCCCTTGCTGTGACGCTGCCCCTGCACTTCAGGGGCGGTTTTATGAGAGCCTACACTTTTCTGGCAGGTCCCAACCTTATTTTGCAAGGAGGCAACCGCGTTGTCAGTTACAAAACCCTGTCCCGAGGGGCGGAATCGCCTTTGTTGTTATTTTAGACCCCATGGAACCACTCCTCCCACGACCCGGCCCCTAACCCAAGGCATATCAGTTCCTTGAAGTGGAGGTGTCTTCCCAGGCCGTGAGTTAGAGACTAGACAATTCCTTAGCATTCTCCTCGCCTTCCTGGATCCACCCTCCAAATGCTGCTTCCTAAGATTTCAGAATTATTTGCTATCTTCTGGGAAGATTTGCTTAAGCAAAGTATCAGGAACGAATTCAGTAGGACCTTGTGCATAAGCAGTATTTGCCATTTCTCTTCTATTGCAGATCATTTGCAATGTCAGGCTTTGATAACTTAAACACGGATTTCTACCAGACAACTTACAGCATCGATGACCAGTCACAGCAGCCCTATGATTATGGAGGAAGTGGTGGACCCTATAGCAAGTAACTTTTCAACTTTGCAATTTATTTAGTCAAGATTGCAGTGAAAGCATGTACCCAGAATGTGTGTTTCTGCCTGAAACCGAATGTGTGAATATGTCCCATATCAAGAATGTGATTTTTCATAATCTTCCTTTTTCTGGAGAGATATAGGGCACTGGTTCGAAAGGATTGCCTTATTTAGTATCTTCTTTAGGGATTGCCTTATTTAGTTTAGTATCTTCTGCAAAATTTTCATGTGTGCTGTGGGTGGAAAAGTAGATTGTTGAACTTTTTGGAGTAATAGTATTTCTACATCATTATATATATGGATAGAAGTTCAGATACCTAAAAGATATGCTAATTAGTCCACAGGACCAATTAAAAATTAAAATTTTCTGATGACTATCTTAATAGTTAAAATAGCCCAACTTTCAGATTTTCCTGACATTAATTGAAAGTGCTTAGTGACGCTACTTAACAGTGTAAGTTTCTTATTATGAGTCATCAGGTGATTCATCAGGTGATTTTCACATAGAAATGGATGGTCATTTTTATTATTTATACCTAAAACTTATGGTCAATACACGTGAGTTGGCAGTTGCAGATTGAAAAGGGACTCAAAACCTTTCAGCTCTGAACTATTAGAAAACTGATTTTTAAAAATAATTTGTGGTATTTGTGGCAAGAATACACTAACTGGAGGTTTTCTACCAATATCTGCTAAGCCATTGTATCCCTAGTTTCTTAGGACCTTAAAGATGATCTTATCACTCTCCCATCAAGTGAAAGCGTTTTCTATACCAGGTCTGCTTAACCTTTTTTAGATGGTTCAGGATGCTTTTAAGAATCTAGTGAAAAGCATGGGTCTATTTCTGAGAAATATGTGCATGCACTCAAACATCCACATAAATGTGTATGCGACTACAGACAGCTCATGTGTCATCATATGTTCATCTATGGGCTGTGAATTAAAAACCTCATGGAGACTACCCTAGGATGAGGGGAAAGGAAGACTATATCTATCAGTCTGAGAGAAACATGTAGTACTAGAACATGTTTGAATTAATAAATTGGAATGGAAGGGCCCAAGAATTTAAAAAACAAAGCAAAAATCAAATTCAGCCCCACAGTCTGGTCTGTCTTGGATAGATTATACTTTTTACAACTTACAGACCCCTTGAATCTGCTTAACCTGATATAAGGCGGCTGTCCCCAAACCTTTCGGCACCGTGCTCCTATGAGAATCTAATGCCTGACAATCTGAGGTGGAGCTGAGGCGGTAATGCTAGTGCTGGGGAGCAGCTGGAAATACAGATGAAGCCACACCTGCTGTGTGGTCTGGTTCCTAAAAGGCCGCAGATCGAAACCAGTCTGCGGCCCGGAGGTTGGGGAGCCCTGTTCTAAGGTTTTCTCCCCCTAAAACTTAATACAGTGAACTGTGAGAAGTGAGCATGTTAAAAATTCTTTCCATGAATCACTTTTTTCCTTTCTGTTAAATTCTCAGCTACATATCATTGAGGATTTATCTCTTTCATCAGTTAATTGGGCAAAATTGGAAACATGTCGAGAAATTTTCATTCATTTATTTACCTAAATATGTATTTTTTTGTGATTGCTCTGTGTAAAAGAGGACAAACGAATGTATGGCCAGAGTGCAGCCGTAGGGCTTTGGAAAACCTGGTCTGTATGCAGGCCTGTTTTTAAACAAATTATATTGATGTTTGGACTCAGCAGAACTATTCCATTTAGATTTCAACCTCCCAGATTTATCTGTCTCTGCCTTTCTTTCCTATCCTGTCCATGTTTGCATCACTTAAAGATGTTATTTATCATTCCACTTATTTCATTTCAGTTTTCCAGTGCAATTATTTAGATATTCTGTTGCTAGCTATTCTTATAATTCCATTCCAACCAAATTATGTACCAGTAAACAGTGCTTCAGTACTAGTAAAGAAGTTTTGTCCCAGGTACATAACCATTATTGCCATTTAAGGAATATGAGTTTATAGATGATGTCTAGAGAAGTCTAGAGAAACAAGAAGCCTAATATATTAGCAGTAGTAACTGGATTTCTGAGCTTTATTTAAAAAAATGGGCCCCCTCTATTTCTATATGTACCTTCAGTTAGGTCTGCAATCTAATGATATTTTAAATATCTATCTCAGTTTATCAAATAACATTTTCTTTGTTTTGTTAACTTGGTTACAAAGATCAGCTGATAACTTTTAGCTATTGATAAAAATCTAGTTTCAGATAGCATATGACTTGGATTGTCTTCAAGTTTGACTTGACTATTAGTCCATAGTTTTGCATCTTCCCTACGAAATCAGCTTTAATATTTTGCAGTTTCCTCTATGGGTACTTTGTAGGTATCATTCATATATTCATATAAAAACAACAAAAATAAAAACAAAAAAAATGAAAGGCTATTTGATCTTAATCTGGTGAGTTTAATGAATGTCACATTTGGACTGGACTCACATTGTTTTCTAGATATGCCTATAAAATACATAGTAATACCAATTACATATTTTTTAAAGTATTGAAAGCTAGTAGGTTTTTTTTTATTTTTTACTTAATTAGTAATACCTTTATGTCCTGTGCACTGTCTAAGGATTTTCATGGCCTTAAATAGCCAACCAAGTATGTTAAGAGACATTGTGTTTCTTTTTGGTACTCAGTGCTAAAGCAGGTTTACATCTGCCACTTTTCCTGCTGTAATTGATTTAGTCTATAAAGATTATCTCTACCATACTATGTTTTAGTTTAAAACCAGCAGAGGAGTCGGGAATTTTCCTACTAGAAAAGGAAAATAGTAAAATTCTATGGTATTGTCTTTCTCACCTTGAATCTTGTAGAAGGAATGATAGTGCCACCTTTGAAGCTGTCATTTGCATGCAGTATTTCTCTCCTTTACATGAGATTTCTGGATCTATATCAGGGGTTCTGAAGTATAGACTGCAGACTCCAGAGAATCCATCCTTGAGACCTTTCAGAGAGTCTTTAAGGTCAAAACTATTTTTATTACAATACTAAGATATTATATACCTTTTGAGGTACATTGACATTTGTACTGATGTTGCAGAAGCAGTGAATAGTAAAACTGCTGGCACCTGAATATGAGTAGACAATGGCATCAAATTGTCCCAGTAATCATTGTATTCTTCATTGCAACACACTTGTTGGGGAGAACCAGTTTCATTTAAGGATGCCCTTGATGAAGCAGTAAGAATTATAATTTTATTCTGACTCTCGAATACACACATTTAAAAAATATTCTCTGTGATAAAATGGGTACTTTGTAGCAGTCATAAAGCACTTTAATTCATGCTGAAGTACAGTGATTAGGAAAAGCCCCTATGCAATTTGAGTCTCAAGCTGAATCAGCTGCTTTTTCATGGAAACAATTTTTATTGGAAAGAACAATTGTCATAATAAACTATGGTTATTCAGATTTGAGTATTTGGCAGATATTTTCTCATAAATTAATGAAATGAGCCTATCACTTCAAGGAAAACAATATTATGTGTGGCCAATGATCAAATTAGAGCTTTCAGGCAAAAATGAGGATTTTGGAAAATTTGTATTCATCACCATGAACTTGTCAGGCTGCCCAGTAATCATTTTTCTGACGCAAGCAGTGATGACACTAACGTGATTTTTAAAATATTTTTATGATATATATATTTTTTTATATGAAATGGGTCAATATTTGGAGGATCTGCATAACTCTTACTAATGTTTTCTAAATGGCCAGTGCATGATGCTACAAAATGAGTAAAGAAAGGATATATTCAAAGTGCAAGACAAATGGATGTATTTTAATGAAACAGTATAAAAAGTTTATTATATTGTTTCAATTTCTATGTTGCAACTTAAGTTTAAAAAACTACCACTTTGCTTTGAGTGTTGGTGTAGTTTCAAAAGGAATATTCGTGGTCATCTGAAAAAGTTCTTAAAAATACTCTATTTTCCAACTGAAAGTCAGCAACACTTGATTTCCTTCAGATACTTCAACTAAAACAATGTATCACGACAGATTGAATGCAGAGATATAAGAATTTTTATTTGACTTCTATTAAACCAGACATAAACGAGATTGATAATAGAGTGCCACTTTTGTCAGTAATTTTTAAAAATAATTTTTCATAAAAATATTTGTTAATATAATAGATTTATTGTTACTTTAAATTAAATATTTTAAATATTTCTCAGTTTTAATTTCTAATGTAAATATATTGATAGATATAACCCACATTAAAAAATCTTTGGGGTTCTCAAGAATAAATTTTAAGACTATAAAAGAGTCCTAAAATCAGAGTTTGAAAACCACTATTGTATATTGTATATCTGTTTATGCTGATTGTAGAAGCCTTCATATGGAACTTTTTCTAGCTGTTTCATAAACTCAGATGTAGATTTATGATGCATCCTAACAGATCAATACAGTAAATCAAAAATGTGAATTCTTGTCATAGTTCAACCAGCTATACTTGTGGGGTGTGTGTGTATAGGTGCAAGTAAATAGAAAGCAACATATTTGCATACAAAAATCACCGAGGAAATGCATATACAGAAAAAAAATATTACAACTGTCTCTGTAAGGTAGGATTTCGGAGTGATTTTTATTACAGTTTTTAAGAGTTAGAATCAAAATGTCTAGTTTTGAATCCTGGTACACATGGGCAGATCATTTTAATCCAAATATCAGTTTCCATATCTTTATAATGTGGAGGTTAATAAAATTAACTTCTTAAAGTTGTGGTGCAGATAATATTAGATATTTCACATTAAACACTTATAACAGTGCTTTACACAGTAATATTCAAAATGGCTATTAGTTATGTTTTTGGAAATTGCCAGTAATATATGCCTATATATTACATGTAACACTTGAGAATTAATTTTAATAAGTGTTGTGCAACATTTTTAAAGGTACAAAGGTACGTTTATGACGTGAAAACTAAGTCCTTTTTCTCTGTTTCCAGGTCCCTTTATCTATATAATGATATATAGAAATACAGAAATCTATATGTATAATCTATATGTATAACATATATACATATGCATATAGATATATTCTAGAAAGCCATGATGGGTGTATATGGTGTATAGTATCTTGAACATTGGTTTTTTTCTTCCTACTGAATATTTCTTGATTATCATTCCTTATCAGCATACATACAGTTGCCTCATTTCTTTTAACAGGCTCATAGTAGCCTATGCTCATATCACAACATATTTACTGATAGTTATTCATATTATTTTGTTTTCTGCCTTCTGCTATTAAAATAATGTTGCGGTGAGTTGTATATTATTATATAGTCATTAAAATAAATGGTATTTTTTTTTCAGCATGGATTGGACTAATGTGGTGAGTCTTGAGAACACCATTGGAAGTTCCAAAGAGCAGTGCATAGTTGAAAATTAGCCATTGCTTTGATTTGCTTTTAATCAAGATGCTCAATTAATTTAAAATTAAGATTTAATTTTAAAAACTTAAAATTAATGGAGGTCATTAGATTTTTATACTTATAAAAAAGAACTATAAAATTTTTAAAAATTAGACTAAAGGCTCTCTAAGGCTTCTCAGCTCTGTATCTTACTTTTAAAACCCTTTTTACAAAGATGGCACTGAAAGCAAAGAAGGAAACCCTACCCCTCCCAGAGCCAAAGCAAAGGCTTTGACAGCAAAGAACGCAGTGCTTAAAGGTGTCCACAGCCACAAAAAAAATGATGTGCCTGTCACCCACTTTCCCCTGGCCCAAGACACTGAGGCTCCAAAGGCAGCCCAAATATCCTTGGAAGAGCACCCACAGGAGAAACAGGCTTGACCACTATGCCATCATCAGGTTCTCCCCAACCCGTGAAGAAGATAGAGTACAACAGCACACTTGTATTCATGTGGATGTCAAGGCCAACAAACACCAGAGTAAACAATCTGTGAAGAAGCTCTACGACATTGAGAAGGCCAAAGTCAACACCCTGATCAGGCCTGATGGAGAGAAGACATATGTTTGACTGGCTCCCGACTATGATGCTTTGGGCGTTGCCAACAAAATTGGGATCATCTAAACTGAGTCTAGCTGGCTTATTCTAAAAATGAAATTTTTTTTACTGTAAATATATATATATCTTTTAAAACAATAATTTTACCTCTGTATTTCTTACTATGTAATTAGATTAGTCCCATTTCTAGATGTCATATTTTTCCAGAGCATGGTGTAACAATTTTTAAAAAATATTGGCTCAGTATCCTGTTTCCTATTGTTTTCATCACTAAAATAACCATGGTAAGGTCTCTCCCTCTAAAATGCAGGATTTGCTGTATAGCACATACCAAATGAAACAGTAGGTGTGCAGCTACTTTGAAAAATTAAAAGCAGTATTCAAATGCAAGGCGAACTCAATGTTTTATATTCAGAAAACTTTCACAAAACTCGATTATTCCACTCTGTGGTTTGAAATTGATGGTTGTTCTTAAAGAGATTTACACACTTGCAAAAAGTAACGTACTACAAAGAGTAAAGAATGATTTTTTATTCAATGGAAATCTAAATTGCAGTGGAAAATTATATACCATGTAGTACAAAGTCTGTCATCCTAAGTTTTCATTCATAGTCTCAGGCATAAATATGATTTTACACCTATCTTTATATCATATATACTCAGGAGAGAAAAACAGACAAGATTTTTAAGTTTTATTTGTTGACCTAACGTTTAAAAGTTTAATAGTTTGTAAAATGCTTAAGTACTGCATAACTGAGTGTTGGCATCAACAGGAAGATTCCCTATAAAACACAGACAACTTTTTGGAGATAATCAGCTTGATCTTAGTAATCATTTCAAACATTATTTATAAAACCTGACAAAGTAGATATCCTAGGAATTGCATGACTAAGATTCTCTAGTCTCAGAGATATCAGCTGTTGGGGAGGGTTGACATAATTTTGAGAAATGAAACTAACTTACTTTGATTTACAGACATAATGCTGGCTATGACTACTCGCAGCAAGGCCGATTTGTCCCTCCAGACATGATGCAGCCACAGCAGCCATATACCGGGCAGATTTACCAGCCAACTCAGGCATACACTCCAACTACACCTCAGCCATTCTATGGAAACAACTTTGAGGATGAGCCACCTTTATTGGAAGGTAGGATCAGTGAAAATTAACCTTAGTTTAGAGAAGTTATCCTTTCCTTTAAAAGAATAATGTTGCAGGAAATAGTTTTCTATTAAGTGACCCATTTTGAACAGATTATATATGAAACCACATTGAGCCAGAGGGGACCGGATTTTTAATAGATCTTTAAAAGTGATAAATATGTCAATATATTATTAGCATCATCTTTTACTTCATATTAACAATTCTATCAGTGGAAGAAATAAAAGGAAATAGCATGGTATTGATTATTCTACATGGAAATAAGCTGGAAGAACTAGTAACATCACTGAAAGGTATAGTGGGTTTCAGATTGTATTCCAAACCCATAATGCAGTGGTTCTGAACATTTTTTTAATTCAGTACCCTTTGAAAGTTTAATGAAAGTTAAACACATATACATAGAGACATAGTTTTGTATACAATTTTGGGGGGGCCTCCACGCATTGCTGAAGCCCCAAGTACAGGACTCCTTACTATTAACCCTATCCATGTATTCTTTGATGTGCAGTGATAGCTAAGAGTATCTGTTTCATCATATTGATACCTTTTCCAACACCAAACCAGAAATTAGATAATGGTGGAATATGCACCATAATCAGTAAAGACTGGTATTGAGGACTCATCGAAATAACATCTGGTATTGCTAGATCTTCTTTTAATGCTGGATATTTAATTTTGTCTCCAGTTCTAACATAGATTCTAGTAAACTAAAGGTATATTACAAATCCTAACTGGCTTCCTTATTTTTCTTTTCCTTTAGAATTAGGTATCAATTTTGACCATATCTGGCAAAAAACACTAACAGTGTTACATCCATTAAAAGTAGCAGATGGCAGCATCATGAATGAAACCGATTTGGCAGGACCCATGGTTTTTTGCCTTGCCTTTGGAGCCACATTGTTACTGGTAAGATTTTAACTCTCAGTGTGAGGTTAAAGAACAATCTTTAAATGTTCCACCAAGAGCCATTTTTGAGATTGCTTATACATCAAGTTTTTGATGTATCTTGAATGGTATTAAGTTGCTTGAATTTATACCTATTCATTACTTCTCCCTTGATAATAAATACAATATCTTGTTCCAAGAGGGAAAACACCAAAAATAAATAAATAAATAATATGTGTGGCTTTGTTCCTTCATCAAAATTCCTTCTTTTCAGAGACTGACAAAATGTTTTAGTCTTGCTCTTTTTTTTTTTTTTTTTAAATTTCTAGACTTTGGATAGTGTTTTCTTGTGATGGTGGTTATTTCTGTATATTATTTTGACTTCAAATGAATTGAAAGATTAGTGAATAAGAGGTTTTAGTCCCTATCTCCCACCTCCCTAAGACTGATAAAACATATTGAAAATGAAAAGTTATAAAGATAATTGTTAATATTTGTTTTATTTAGGTCTCTAAATTAGAAGAGATGAGTGATGTAATGGGCAGATGTTGAGGTTTTCAGTCAGAAAAACTGGGAGTGAATTCAGTACTCCTACTCTGTCCTTGAGCAAGTTATTTAATCCTTCAGCTCTCTCATAGATAATTCTGTGCTTCCTAACTAACACGATTGTTTGGAGATTAAGCAGACAGGTCATGTGAGAATGCTTTGAAAAGTTTAAAGCACTGTGCAAGTACGAGTTATTACTACATGAGTGAATTTATCAATGATCTCAACTAAACTTTTCAAATTTCTACACTCTCAAGTATTTATATATAAATATTGAGTCACAAAATCTCAAGGATTTTTCCATTTAACATAATTTGTAGAGGCATTCTCGTGATTGAGTTTTACATATCAGAAGTTGACAAACTTCTCTGTAGACTGATTTTAGTGATAACGTGATCTGAATACAATAATACAATGTTTATTTACATAGCTTGACTAATGGCGCTATAACTTCAATTTAGCTAACCATTACTATCCTGAGATTTTGTTTGTTTGTTTATGGTCAAAAGACTTTATAAATCAACCAACAATTTGGAAAAATAAAGGAAAAAATATCTTTCATTATATTCCTTTCACCTGGTTGTTATTCACTTTTTTCCTCTCCGTCCCACAGAACCATGGCTTCCTGCTTATCTTGGCTTTCTTTCTCCTAGCTCCTCTTAACACACTTAGAGAATGAATGATGAAATTATTTCTGCTGTTAAAAAGGTTATGGCTACATCTGCCAATGAGAATAAATTGCTTTGAGGCAGTTTTGGTGGAATTAGGTGCTTTCAAGTGACATTAGCTGTTGTCCAAACATTCTGGATGGCTTTCCATCTTGTCTATAGTTTATTTGCTTAAAATCAACCAGATTTCTTTTTAGAAATGGAATACTTTAGATGATTGTACATGATTTTGTATCTTTCCATGCCAAGCTCAAATACTAACTGGAAAATGAAAAACCAAATATTTGTGTATTGGGAAGTGGATACTTGAAACTTCTCAAGGAAGATATGAAAGCCAATCTGCTCAATATTGTACCTCTTTGCATAAAGAATAGATATCTCTGTAGATTTTGATGCTCATAAATTAAATATCTTCTACATGAACCATTTTAGGTAAAATAAGGCCAAAAATAACTTATTTTTTTTACACTTTAACCTATAATCTTTTCTTTACCCACAGGCTGGCAAAATCCAGTTTGGCTATGTATATGGGATCAGTGCAATTGGATGTCTAGGGATGTTTTGCTTATTAAACTTAATGAGTATGACAGGTGTTTCATTTGGTTGTGTGGCAAGTGTCCTTGGATATTGTCTTCTTCCCATGATCCTACTTTCCAGCTTCGCAGTGATATTTTCTTTGCAGTAAGTACTGATCTTTATTTTGGGTATTGATTGACCGATTCTGTGTAATAAGATTGACTTGCCATCAATTTAAGATAAATCCCTGATTCAGCATACACACTAGATAGTGCCTCTTGTGAGTGAGGACTGTGCTATATGCTTTTCAGTGATGAACACTGAAGATGGTATCTTTAATACTATCTCAGCTTTTATTTACGTTAAAGAATTTCACAAGTTTTGTGTTCATTTAAACAGTGTCAGTAAATGAATTAAACAGTGGTGATTGTTAAATATTAAATTTAGCATGGAAAACGTGAAGTTAAAATTATACTTTCTTTTTGATATTTTTTAGACTATATTTGATTTCTTGAATATGTTGGGCATGTACTAAGTGAATGGATAATAAACGTATTCTCTATTTGGCAGCTCTTTAACTGAAAATGGAACATTTGAGTGGGGCACAAGGTTATTACTAACCTATCACTTTCTCAGATGTACTCGTAAGCACATTTAAATATAATTTTTAGATAATGATTTCGGTGAGGTTAAAAAGAAGTGTAAATTACTGCCAATAAAGTTCCTCCTTGTGTCCAGTGCTCAGATACTCTCTCGGCAGTTCAAGCTCTTTCTGTGGCTAGTGCTGGACACCACCTATGATTGGGCTTTGTTACACTTACAGAGTTAAAAAACAGGTTTAAGAGAAGAGCATATATCAACTATTTGATACCAGAGATTTGGCAAGATGATGACTTGGATAAAAATGCTTCAGATTTTCAGTGCAGAAACTGCTTCACTTTCTCATTTGTTGAGATTAATATATTTATATATGAATTTTACAGAAGATATTTTCTACTAAAAGATTGTTCTCCAGCCAAGGGCAATTTTACTCCCTGGGGACATATGGCAATAGCTGGAGACAATTTTTGTTTTCACAACTGTGGGTAGCAGGGATGCCCTTGGTATCTTACAGCTAGAAGCCAGAGATGCTACTAAACATCCTAACAGTGCACAGAACAGTCGCCTGCAGCAAAAGTACATCCAGCCCAATGTCAGTAGTGCCATGGTTGAGAAGCTCTATGCTAAAAGGAGCGAAATGTATTTATAAATGAGCTTTTATCACATGGGAGAATTCAGCATCACTGAGTTCAGTGTGGAGTACATTTGAACATTTTTGGGGAAAAAAATCTTAGTTATTTCTGCAGATGTTTACATGTAGATTTAAAATGCTTTTATTTAAAATTGCTTTTGTAGTGTTCTTCCGTAACTAACCTCATCTGTCTTTTTTGGCCCTCCTTGTTTTTCCTTTTCGGTTACAGAGGAATGGTAGGAATCATTCTCACGGCTGGAATTATTGGATGGTGTAGTTTTTCTGCTTCCAAAATTTTTATTTCTGCACTAGCCATGGAAGGACAGCAACTGCTAGTAGCATATCCCTGTGCTTTGTTATATGGGGTCTTTGCACTAATTTCCATTTTTTGAACTGAATTTATCTGGGATGTGGACATCATTGGGCCAAATACACAGAAAAGACTTCGGACCCTTAAATTGGACCAGGAAACTGCTACAGTGCAGCTCTCATACAGACCTAACGTTTGACTATTGGAGCAGTGGAAGTAAACATGTATCTTTTGTTCATTTTTATGGAACTTTTGAATACTATATTTGATTTACCTGAAGTATCACTAGCTGTAAATGTTTGTGCTTATACAAATAAGAAGTGCTATTTCTTCCCTGTTCCTGCAGCCTTTGAAAGACAGCTTTTTTTCTTGCAAGTTGTATTATGATGTTTTGATAAATTTTTATCAACTGTGGGAGACTAACCACAGAGCTGATAATCTTTCTTAAAAACAACCCAGTCGTAGTAAAGAAGACACAAGACTTATTGCAGAAATATTTTTTGAAGGAATTAAGAAAGAAAAATTACCTGTATTCTCAAGTCAGATGCACTTCAAGCAAAAAAGTGATCCCAGTGTAGAGTTTGAGTTTGCACTTCAAAAATTTGACATTCCTTTAAATTATCTCATGGAAATTTTGCTAAAATTCAGCACTACAAGAAGCTCAGTCTACCTTATTGTAGACAGGAAATGTGACACCTGTTTGGATAGCAGCGTTAACTAAACCATAGTGACCTAGACTGGCCACGTAAATGCTTATAGTTGGATCTCCATGTTTCCCAGGAAAAAGAAAATTAACCTTTTTGAGAAAAATATTTAAAATGTCACAATTTCAGTTTTGCAGTTATCAATGTAAAGTACATTTGATGCTTATTAATTAAAATTTTCCCAGTTAATTTTAACTGTGTTGTTGAGTTTACTTTTGCTAAACCACTGTCCTTGGCATCCCATTTTCTTTAACTTGGGTCTGATTTTGATTTGTATGTCCAATTTATCTTAAGCTTTAAGAATAGAAGTCATCTAGTTTAGAATCAGAAAAAAAGGTTAAATGCGAAGCAATTTACTTTGAGTTAAACATTATTTTCTTGTATTAAATTTATTTGGTTAATATTGTCTTGCTTTCTTACCAGAAACTCTAAGAAAATAGTATGTCTTATATATTGCCCATTGGCTTTTTTCTGAAGAAACTCCCTCTGATTCTGGACAAATTGTAGTTATGAGAAAAGTGCCATATGAGGAGGGAAAAGAGATTTTCAGACCAAATGAAAAATGCCAAGCAGACACATTAGTACTTTTTTAGAGCTGGTTTTCAATCATAAAAGGAGGATACAATAATAAAACATGTTTCTGACAAGAAGATGATTTCTAATTTCTGAAGTCACAAATATGTTTTTCTTCATCTTCTGGAGGAATACACTAATAGTTTTGGGCTGGTTTTCAAACTAATCAGATTGTTTTAGAGTAATATTTTTTATTGTGATCCTTGGATAGTATCTTTTTTGCCTTTTTCAATTAATTTTATAAATACAGCTCTTGTTATGACAAATGTAATGAGTGCCTCCTGTTGGTACTATCTAGTTCTTCCTAATGAACAGGATAGATGATGCTTTGGAAATTAAATTCTCCCTCTGGTTAGACATAAGACCATTAATCTCCAGCCAGATTCCTTAAATGGATCAAATTGTTTTCTTATTTTTTTACCTCCCTCACCCCCAACAAAATAATTTTTAAATCAGTGTAGAGATTTTTGTTGTCTTTTATTTAACTCCAAATGGTTAGGTATAAAACTATATTTAATTGTTCCGTCAAAACAACTATATAGCAGAGTTGCATTTGATGCAAGAGTTTAGTTCTAGAGTTTGCTTGGTTACATGAAGAGTCATGTATAGCCAAAATTTCCCTTAAAAAACTCTTAAAAATACAGTTTATGTAAACATATTTAAGTATACTTTAATAACATATATTGTGTCTCAGAAAGTAGCATATGATTAACTTTTTTCTCTAGTACTGAAATAGAGTTCTGTTTTACCAGTTAATACCAGCTAGAGCATCTGGTTTGCTTTTAGGGTCCATTATATATCAAAAAAAACATACATCTACCTTTAAATACTAGAGACACTCAGCATAGCTAAAAGCTCACCCAGCAATTGTCACTGAATAACAAACTCACTGGGTATTTATGCATATATGTCAAGGACATGTATGGTGTAAATGTAAAGTTATCAATGGGTGTTTTCAAGAGCTGTATAGCTAGGCTTGTAGAAATAGGTATTCTTTGTCCAGATATAGTTATACTATAAATAGTGCAAAGTTCTATAAATCTTAAAATGTTAACTATCCTCACATACTGGCCATCTTATCAAAAAGAATTTTTAAAAATATGATTTTTGGTATATTTTAAAAACTCTGCATTTGACATTTTGCAAGTTTATATTTTTAACCTTAGTAGTCATTACTCAACTCAAATATACTCCAAAGCTAAGTAAGGATAGTTGTTTCTAAAGTTAAAATTATGCAATTATGTCGGTATTACCCATTGCCTACAAAAAAAAAAGCCTTTCCTTTGCGAAATTATATACTTTTTTTTTTCATATAAATGGAAGAATTTAGAACTTTAGGCAAAAAGAGAACTGTAGAGATTAAAATCTCATCCTATGGGATACCGCAACCCAGTCATGGACAATTATGGGAAATCAAGCCCTCATTTGTAGATTCTGCCAATTATATAGAGCAGATCTAATGTAATGACTTAGACAATTTGCTTAACTTCCCCATGGGAGAAAAAATATTTATGACAAAGTGTTTAGCCTTTCATAAAGTACCAAAAGTTCTTCAAAAAATAACTGCATGGTACAGATCATAGCACAAAGAATAGTTTTAACCAAAGAATAGCACTGGGCCTTTAGAGCAAGCTTCCTACCCAAATAATGACTCAAGTTAAATTTATCCTCACAAAGTGTCACTGATTCATTTTGTCATGTTCATGTCAAATTTCAACCACCATTTACCAAAAGATCGATTTTTATAAATTTCAATTTATTTGGAAATGAAAGCTTAAATTATTTCTCAAGCAATTTATTTGTATATCTAATGATATGCTTGTTTCAACATAGGAACTATAAGAATAAAACATTTAGAATGAGGCAAAAACAAGTACCTTTTCAAAAATAATTATAGTAGTTAATAAGAATTTCTATTTTTAGGATATGCTTAGGATTTGGGGGAAGAAGTGGCAAGATATCAGGAAGAACTGGTTCTTGTGCTTAAATGAATAGATAAGTGATCTGCCATTAGCTTATTAAGCATGTAATGCTTACTTTCAAGCAGCCAAAAAACAAAGCCTGTCATCAGGCTGTTACTTACAACACCAATGAAGAAATAATTTTTAAATTAACTCTACTTCTGCCATCAAAATTATTGAAGTTTGAATGTTGGTACATTACTATTACTTGAATTTCAATAAGTTCCTTTGTTCATTAATAGTTAAATACCCATTTTATAATGGCAATAGGTAAAATGAAACATTAAGTTACAGATTTCTAGGGATTGGTAGAGTATTTAGTCAGGTGTGTTTTATATTATCATTAATGAATGTGTATCTTAGAATGGTGACCATAAACCTGAAGAATAAATCTGGTAGTGTGCACTTTTAATTTTTGCATCACAGATGAGACTATTTCTTCTACTCTTGTGCACAAAGTTCCCACTCTAGTTAATGAAGAACATTATCTGCTGATGGAGCACAATGTCCTATGTTTGTGCAAATAAATTAAAATGATGACATACTCAAATGAGGACTAATTACAGAGCTGTTCTTCTAATTTAAAAGCACAAATACTTTCTTGAGCACATTAGGTTCTAAAAATTGTATATTACATTTTTTGTGAGCTTAACTAATTAGGCTTACCTTGCATGTATAAATTTAGTTTATTTCTGAAACTACCACTAAATCTGCTGATAGCTTGCAGGGTGATTAATTATGTATTAAGGTGTTTTAAATAGCTTTTCAACACTTGCACAAAAAGAATTTTAAAAATGAGAAAACATGAAGTACTCTGGAAACATTTCAGGTGCTTGAAAATTTATACCTATTTGGTTTAACTATGATTCTCCTAAAAGTAGAGAAAGCAATATGGTTATTTCATTTCCTGCCGCCCCCCCCCCGCCCCCAGGTAAATATAGTATAAACAAAGGAAAGTCTTTGTAAAACTTAGTGACACATTTGCTGACATTTTTCAGTTTTGCGATCGTTCATAATATTATAAGACAATCAATGGTTCTAAAAGTCCATTTAGGTAATCAATGGTCCTATTAGTTCTATTATTTTATATGTCTTAATTTAAAAAATGGGAGTGTCTATTTTTTCCAATTACACACCATTGTTATGATAAAAAGTAATAACACATCAATAAAAAGGAATGGATTGTCTCAATATGGACGACCCTCAAAAACATGCTAAGTAAAAAAAAAGGCAGATATGAAAGACCACTTATGATTTCATTTATATGAGTTACGAGGGAAGACAAATCTATGTAGAGACAAGATTAGTAGTTGCCTGGGGGTGGGAGTGGGGATTGCTCATATGTAAGTACAGGAGGGTAGATTTTATGATATGCAAATTATATGTCAATTATTTTAAAGCATGAAGGGAGAAAGGGTAGAGCAAACTGTTATCTGTATTTTCAGAGTTTAAAAGAATAGAAGGGTTTTAGAATGAATTGTAATAGAGGAAAAAACAGTCTAGTACTTTTACCCAGAGGAAAAAATATGCGGAACCAAGAAAGTGAAATTGCTCCCCCTCCACCCACTTTCACTCTCCACATAACTCCTGTCAGATAGATTACTTTGCATTTTATCAGAACATACAAGTACTCTCTTCCCAAATCCCCCACCGCCCCCAATGGATTGTATACATTTGTGAATATACACATGTATGTGCCTCTTAAATTTTTATTAAAATTCACATAACATGAAATTTTTAAGTTTTGCAATATACAATTCAGTGGTTTTAGTGGATTCACAATGTTGTATAACTATCATCACTATTTTCAGAATATTTCCATGACTTCCCACAATCCCTATACTTCTCAATTTCACCCATATACCTCCCATATACACAGACAACCACTAATTAAGTTCTGACTCTGGATTTGATTATTGTGGGCATTTCATATAAATAGAAGCATAAAATGTAGACTTTATTTCTGGCTTCTTTCATTTAGCACAATGTTTTCAAAGTTATTTTTTTTTTTAAACTTAGCAATCTGTTAAGGGCATCATTATAACATGTTAAACGTTGAAATTTACTTACTCTTTAGTAGCTGGTTATAATTATATGAGCAGAATCTAATTTACAGGCCTTTATTGTTGGACTATTGGGATCTTGTAGCTTTTTTAAAAAAAAGATAAATAGTGCTGCATTGGTATTGGCATCTTGCATTATTAGAGTGTCACATTTGCATTTAATAGTGCTTGGGTTGGTCATTATTTAAACTCAGAATTTAAATTCTAAAAAATTTTAATCATTTTATTCTCTAATAGTTCTGTTTAATGTAAGTATAATTTTCTGTGATTTGTCAAAACAAGCAAGTCATATCCATGTTTGTGCAAGGCATTGCTCTTTGCTTCTCAATGATCTCAGTGTTTTTATACCACTCTTAAGCAGTGGAATGTGAATACTGCTAAAAGGATCATGTCTCACCCACACTTCAAATTATTCCTACCTTAGAAGGAAAGACTTCATTCAAAGTGAGACTTTTTTTTTTTTTCCTTGCCCATTTAAAAGAGTCATTCTGACAACGTCTTTTTTAGGTCATTGTTTTACATAGCTTTTTAAAAATATTCTGAACTGTGCCTATTTTTAATTTCATGCATGGCCATAGAATTTAGGCATTTCAGGACA